GCAGGCCGTGCCCAACCGCAACCACAAGTGAGCGGCGGCGCGGGGCACGGGGGCGGCCCCCGTCCCCCCTCCCCGGGATCGCGGGGGCGGCCCCCGTCCCCCCTCCCCGGGATCGCGGGGGCGGCCCCCGTCCCCCCTCCGCGGGGTCGCGGGGGCGGCCCCCGTCCCCCCTCCGCGGGGTCGCGGGGGCGGCCCCCGTCCCCCCTCCGCGGGGTCGCGGGGGCGGCCCCCTTCCCATGCCCGGGAGCGGCCCCATTCTCCCTCCAATACCGGGTGCTGGGACCAACCACCGACCCCCTCCAGCCCAGGGATGCAGGGACCCACCCCCCGGCTTGGGCACCGGCGTCCTCCCCGCCAACAAACACCCCTTCCCCATCACCGGGATCCCCCCCATTGGACACCAGTGCCTCCTCCTTTGGGTACCAGGAGCCTCCCACAGGGGTGCCGGGATCCCCATCGGTGCTCTGGGATCCCCATCGGTGCTCTGGGATCCCCATCGGTGCTCTGGGATCCCCATCGGTGCGCTGGGATTCCCTTCCATGCTCTGGGATCCCCATCCGTGCGCTGGGATTCCGGTCCATGCTCCGGGATTCCCATCCATGCTCCGGCCGCAGGGAGGCAGCGGCTGCACGGGCCGTGTTTCCACTGCGGGTGCTGTCGCTGTCCCTGCCGCGTGGGGCCCAGGGCCCCATGTGCCGCCCCGCCCCGGGGAGGGGGGATTGTTGCCCCAAGGAGAGGGGACTGTCGGCGCTTTGGTGGCCCCGGTGCCACCACCGCGACGCTGGACCCCGTCCCGCGCCGTGGCACTAACGCGTCTGCGCCCGCGTCCCCCTCGGCAGCGCCAAGAAGAAGAAGATGGCAGACAAGATCCTACCTCAGCGGGTGAGCGGCGGGGCCGGGCGCCGCGTGCCGCGGCCGCAGCCCTGCGCCTCGCTCAGCGGCCTCTTTTCCGCCCCAGATTCGTGAGCTGGTCCCCGAGTCCCAGGCCTACATGGACCTGCTGGCCTTCGAAAGGAAGCTGGACCAGACCATCATGCGGAAGCGCCTGGATATCCAGGAGGCCCTGAAGCGACCCATTAAGGTAGAGCGGAGCGGAGCGTGCGCYGCGTTGCCGCGAGCCGGGACGGGAGTCTCTGCCTGTAGCCAGGGGAGCAGCCGCGTGCTGGAGCCTGGGCCCCGTCCCCGTAAACGTGGGGGAGCAGGAACCCCCGTCGTCCAGACGCAGGCAGGAGCGGAGCCGGGAACGCCTCGTGTTCCTCTCTCCTTGCTGCCTCTGCTGGGAGAGAAGGAAAATGAAATGGATAAGGGGTTTTGAGCCTCTTTSAGGAAAAGAAAGGCAAGATAGTTCTTTATTTCAAAATTAACATTTAGCTGATGCTTTTTCTCTTAGCAAAAGCGAAAGCTGCGTATTTTTATCTCCAATACGTTCAATCCAGCCAAGTCGGACGCCGAGGATGGCGAAGGAACTGTTGCCTCGTGGGAGCTGCGGGTGGAAGGACGGCTCCTGGAGGACGTGAGTGTGAGACAGCCGGGCTCGTAGGGAGGCAGGAGACGTGCGCTGATGTCCGGATGAGGCTAAACGGGGCTCTCCCTCTGAGATCAGCTCTGCTAACGCTCTCGCTTCCTGTGTTGCTTGCAGTCTGCTTTGTCTAAATACGATGCCACCAAACAGAAAAGAAAGTTCTCGTCCTTCTTTAAATCCCTGGTCATTGAACTTGATAAAGACCTGTACGGCCCCGACAATCACCTGGTAGAGGTGAGCTCCCTTTGCTGCGCTGTCTCGCCCCGTGCGGTGCCGCTCAGCAGGCAGCCTTTGTTCCTCGTTCGTGTCTCGGGCCGGAGCGGGCGGCCGGGAGCTGCTGACGCCTCTGCTTTCCTGGGGCCTTGCTGGGGTCTGAGCGGGCGCATTAACTCTTGATCCCAACTGTCCAGGGGGTGGACTAACTCTGGGGGTGTGGGGGGGTTCCCGGCGAGCGTGTCGGGAGCCAAGCATGCGGGTGCCCTGACCRCTGTCCCGCGCTCGGTGTCGCAGTGGCACAGGACGGCCACGACCCAGGAGACGGACGGCTTCCAGGTGAAGAGGCCGGGCGACGTGAACGTGCGCTGTACCGTCCTGCTGATGCTTGACTACCAGGTGAGCTCCTCGGAAGCGCGCGGGGTGCTCGCGGGGCCCTGTCCCGCCTCGCGGGGCCCCACCGCGTCCCCATCTCTTGTGGCAGCCTCCCCAGTTCAAGCTGGATCCGCGCCTGGCCCGTCTCCTGGGCATTCACACCCAGACCCGCCCCGTGATCATCCAGGCGCTCTGGCAATATATTAAGACCCACAAGCTGCAGGACCCCCACGAGCGGGAGTAYGTCATCTGTGACAAGTACCTGCAGCAGGTAACGGGGCGCGCAGCGGCCGCGCGCGGCGGCCTCAGCTCTGCCCTGGGAGCAGCCGGCGGTCCCGGCGCTCAGCTCCCCTCCCTTCCCTTAGCCTGCGTTTCTGTCGCAGATATTTGAATCCCAGCGGATGAAGTTCTCCGAAATCCCCCAGCGGCTTCACGCGTTGCTTATGCCCCCGGAACCGATCATCATTAACCACGTGATCAGGTGAGGCAAGCCCACCCGAGTCCACTTTTCCGGGAAAATGGGTGGAAAGAAGGGACAAGCCTGGTTTGGGAAGATGTTCCAATGGGTTGGTTTTTCAGGAGTGCTTCCCCTGCATCTCCTACCATTGTTTCTTTCTTAACCAAATCCCCCTTTCCAAGGAGCCTGCTGTCTTGAGCATCTTGATTCAGTTTCTTTCTTGTGGCTGCCCTCAGTGTTGACCCAAACGACCAGAAGAAAACAGCCTGCTATGACATTGATGTGGAGGTGGATGATACTTTGAAGACTCAGATGAATTCCTTCCTGCTCTCTACGGCCAGTCAACAGGAAATTGCTGCTTTGGATAACAAGGTAGGAAGAGCTCCTTCGTTTCTGCCCCTCTCGTTGCTGGATACAAAGGTGTCCTTGGAGCAGGTGAGCTCTTGGTAGGACGGGAGCCCATTTGGAGTCTGGTGTCAAGTTGGTCATGGTTAGAAATTAGAGGTTTTATCTGGAAACAAAGCTGTAAAGCAAACGTCAATGGGATCACYGGTAACGCAGGGAACAAAACTGAGAATTCTGTCTGATAAGTTTAAGTTAAGCAGGGAGCATCAGAATTCACCTTCACGTATTGGATCACTTGATATTTTCCCTCTGCCCTTTCCCCTCTTGAGCAGTTGTTGGTCTGTGTTTCAGATTCATGAAACAATAGAAACAATCAACCAGCTGAAGACGCAGCGGGAATTCATGCTGAGCTTCGCCCGAGACCCTCAGGGCTTCATCAACGACTGGCTACAGTCCCAGTGCCGGGATCTGAAGGTAAGAGCTTCATCCCGGGCGGAAGGTGGATCCAGCCACAGGCTTCCCTCGTAGAAGCAGCTCCCCCCGAGCAGCAGTTTGTTGCTCYGAAACCAGGGCTGGACTCAGAGTTGAGCGTGACCCAACCGTGCTGAAGCTCCTTTGAAGGAGCGGGGTTGGGTTTGCTGCCTCAACCCTCGTGTCCTTGGTGCTCTCCAGACGATGACTGATGTTGTGGGGAACCCCGAGGAGGAGCGTAGAGCCGAGTTCTACTTCCAGCCGTGGGCTCAGGAAGCCGTGTGCCGATACTTCTACTCCAAGGTGAGCGTCCCAGGCAGGGCTGCGGTCCTGGTGGCCGGGAGTCCCGTCCCTCCTCGGGGCAGGCGCCGCCGGTGCCGAGTGGCACTGCTAACCCCCACCTGCAGACCCCGATGATGACTCTTGGTCCCAGGTTGTGTTTTGCAGCCGGGACCTTTGTCCCTCAGACGCTGCCCTGCTCTGCAGACTATTAACACTGCGRCTGCGGCTTCTCCCGCAGGTGCAGCAGAGGCGGCAGGAGCTGGAGCAGGCCCTGGGAATCCGGAACACATAGGCTGCTTCCTCTGCGTYCAGAAGGCACCTCAGCTACTTGTGGAGGCGGAGAGCTGCGGAGGATGCTGTTAATCCCACTCCGGCACYGAGGCCTGCGCCACCATCCATGCTGGCATTGTCCCTCTGGGCTCTCCTGGGGTGTGACAAGCAGACAGGCTCCAACGAGCACACACTTCTACCTGGTTTTCCTTCTGACTGTTGCCTTGTCAGTCCCAAGGCTTCCGCGAGCCTCCCCGTGGCTCCRCACCGCCTGTAGTGTCCCCCGTAGCCGGTACGACTGCTGTCTCGGAACCCCTCGAGCTCAGAAACCCTGAGCAGCCTCCCCTCCTCAACTAGCACCTAGTCGTGGCGCAGGCGGGACACGGGCCTGGGCCRCCAGCTCTGCTTCCAGCTCTGTCGCGGGGATGGAGCCCTGTGAGCAGCGTCCTCCCTGCTTGGTTTTTATAGTGAGGTGCCCTCCTGCTCCGAGGGGGCTGCTGCTGCACGGCATCACCTCCCGGGTCACTCCTTGAGGAAGAGTTTACCCGACTCCAGAGAACTGCTCCTTCCCTTGTCCCTTTTCTGTTTCCCTCGTTTCCTTYGTGTCCTTGGGCAGGCTGTCCAGGCCAGGGACGGGAGGCGCTGGCTCCGGGCAGGGATGTGGAAGCGCCGGACCAGGGCTCCTGGGTTTGATGTGCGGGGTTACGGGACAGGCTGTGGGGCAGACGCAGCTCCGTGCGTCGGGTTTCCTCGCTGAAGCTCCTCGTTGGGCAGTTTTAGGTTGTGGGGCTGCTGTAAGGCCCAGCATGGATCAGGAATGTACAAGTGGATTTTCTCAACCTTGGGGAGTAGCAGCCTGGCTGCTTCTCCATKGAATGAATTAACAGTGAATTAATTAATGGTTAGGAGTAAGAGAATGGATTCTCTTAACCTGAATCTCAGTATTTCTGCTCGGGCCTGAAATGCAAAGGACCTCAAAAGCTGGTCATGTTCTCTCGGAGCCAGCCCCAAAATCATGTTACTGACGAGCCCCCCCGTAGTCCGCCCCATCCCGGGGTGGCCGGGAAGCTCACTCTGAATTTGGGAGCCCGGGTGGCCCTGCTGCTCGTGTCTGTGTTACTACATGTCTGTGAGTAATAGACTCTCGACTCCCTTCTCCTCTGCCCCTTATGAAGCGGCTCCTCTGTGGCACCGGGGTGAAGGTCTTGGTGCTGACGAAGCAGCTACTGACTCCTCAGGGTGATCACACGTGAAGGATGCTGAGTACTGCGTAGGCAAGCGTAGTTGTTGCAGAGTAACTGCTTTTCTTAACTGATTATTATGTTTTTTTTTTCCATGGACCAAATTTTTTTTTTGTATTGTACCCTTGTAGACGTCACCCGGTTTTAATAAAAGCCTCGTGCGAGGGAAGCTGGGCTGCGTCCTGCTGTGCTGCCCGCGTGCCGCCCGTGCCCTCCCTGTGCGTGCCCACGAAGGACACATCGCTGCCTCCCCTTCCCCCTTAACACAGCCAACTGGGATAAGAAACGGGAGAGAAAATAAATGTACTCCACGCTTTGGCCTTTTATGCAGCGCCCTCCTTTGCAGCGAGGAGCTCCAGCCTGCTCAGCCTTGGCCAATTCCTTTTGTGGGCAACGGGCTCCACAACTGGAGCAAAACGGGGAAGGCRGTGGCCAAGCGCTGGGTAGAACCTCGCCGGCTGCGCTGCCACCCTCRTTGCCGCCTCGCAAAGGGCGGCAGCGTTTTGAGCGCCACGCACGGGCCGTGCGTGGGGTCGTGGAAGCAGCTTTAGGCTAGGTTGTCCTCAAAAAGGAAGGCAAGAGCCCCTGCTCCTGTCCTGGGGAGCTGTTGGGCGAGCGGCRGCCGCGGGAGGCTCGGCRGCGGCCGGTGGCCTCTGCACAGAGYGAAGGGCAGCGAGCGCCGCGCTCCGCGCCGGAGCTGCCTGCACCCTGCACCGGGTTCGGGTTTCTCCCCAGGAAAAACGGCCCCGCGGTTGGGAAGGCGGCTCCGCTGTTTGTGGCACCCACTGGCCCTGCAGCGCTGGGATTGCAGCTATTTCACCTTTGCTTGGGGCCGGGGGGGGCACGCGGGCCGGGCCCCCCCTGCTCCGTGCCCCAGGCGGAGCCGGAGCCGGGGGCGGGTCGGGGCTGGCCCTGCTCCGGCTGCCCTGAAATAGCGCGGCCGGCTGCGCCGCGCACGGCCCCGCTCCCGCACCATGGGCGGCAAGAAGGTCTGCATCGTGGGCTCCGGCAACTGGTGAGCGCCCCGCTGCGCCGCACCACTCTGCTCTGTCCTGCTCCGCTTTCCTCCGCGCTGTTCATTCCGCTCAGTGCTGCTCCGTTCTGCTCCTCTCTGCGCTGTTCTGCTCTGCTCCGCTCTTCTCTGCACTGCTCCGTTCTGCTCCGCTCTTCTCTGCACTGCTCCGTTCTGCTCCGCTCTTCCTCTGCTCTTCTCCGCACTGCTCTGCTCTTCTCCACTCCCTTCTGTGTCGCTCCATGCTGCTCCGCACTGTTCCATTCTGCTCCATGCTGCTTCTCTCYGCTCTTCTCCGTGCTGCTTCTCTCCATGCTGCTCCGTTCTGCTCTGCTCTTCTCCGCAGAGAGCAGAGCTCTGTTTTGCTCTCTGAGAGCAGAAGCTCTTTGCTGTTTTGCTCCATTCTGCTTTGCTCTTCTCCGTTCTGCTCCATACTGCTGTTTTGCTCCGTTCTGCTCCACACTGCTCTGTTTTGCTCCATTCTGCTCTGCTCTGCTCCGTTCTGCTCCATACTGCTGTTTTGCTCCGTTCTGCTCTGCTCTTCTCCGTTCTGCTCCACACTGCTCTGTTTTGCTCCGTTCTGCTCTGCTCTGCTCCGTTCTGCTCCACACTGCTCTGTTTTGCTCCATTCTGCTCTGCCCTTCTCTGCACTTCTCCATTCTGCTCCACTCCTCTGCACTCCATTCTGCGCCACTCCGCTCCTCTCTGTTCTGCTCCGCGCTGCTCCGTTGCCGACGCGCTCGGCCCCGCTCTGCCCGCACAGGGGCTCGGCCATCGCCAAGATCGTGGGCAGCAACGCGGCGCGGCTCGACACCTTCGAGAGCCATGTGAACATGTGGGTGCTGGAGGAGGACGTGGGCGGCCGGCGCCTCACGGACATCATCAACACGGAGCACGAGAACGTCAAGTACCTGCCGGGCCGCAAGCTGCCCCCCAACGTGGTGGGTACACGGCGGGGCCGGCCGCGCTCCCCACGACCTTGCGGCRCACCCGGACGGGCCGCCTTCGCCCGGTGTCCCCTTGCCTGGGCTCGGTGCCACGTGTCCCCRCGCGGGCTGGCGCCGTCCCCGGGGCGCTGCGCGACGCCGCTGGCCTTGGCCGCAGGTGGCGGAGCCGGACCTGCTCAAGGCCTGCGCCGGGGCCGACATCCTGCTGTTCGTGGTGCCCCACCAGTTCATCGGCAAAGTCTGCGACCAGCTCAAGGGCCACATCAAGAAAGAGGCCATCGGGCTGTCGCTCATCAAGGTGCGAGCGGCTCCCGGGGGCTGCGGGGTTGGGGGGACGGAGTCTGCGGGACCCCAGGGGGGTTTCATTAGGGGGGAGGCGCGGGGGGATCCCTGTGGTGACGCTCRGCATGGGATGTGGCGCAGGGAGGGAGGGATCGGGGCCGGCACGTCCCTCGGAGCAGGACACGGGCTCAGCTCCGTCCCCGCTCGCGGGCCAGGGGGTGGATGAAGGACCGGAGGGGCTGAAGCTGATCTCGGACATCATCCGCGAGAAGCTGAGCATAGAGATGAGCGTCCTCATGGGCGCCAACATCGCCAACGAGGTGGCGGACGAGGAGTTCTGCGAAACGACCATCGGTGAGCGGGCGCCGCGGGGCCGGCCGCGGCTTCACCAGCGCCGCGGGCAGGGGCCGCACATCGACCTCCCCCGGCCGGAGCAGAGGAGTCCGAGCACTGCCGCCACCGCCCGGCACGGCAGAGCTGGGCTGCGCCAGGGCTGTCCTGCAAGGCAGAAATCTGCCCCATTTCCAGCCTCCAGAAAGGCTGTGGGGCGCAGGGCCTCCCCCAGGACTAAGCTGAGCTCCCCTAGCTCTCTTTGCCTGGGTTTCTGGGGACACTCACCTGCATCCCGGGTTATGGCTGCTTGGAAGTTCGTCCAGCGCCTGTTGCTCGTGTCCCCCATCCTTCCTGTGRCTCCCTCAAAGTGCCCAAAGCCAACGGGAACAGTTTGCTGGGTCGGGAGCTACGGGATTCAGGCTGTGTCCTATTTTAACCACCAGCAGGTGTGTGACGCAGGGGCCGCAGGGGCTGTCGCTCAGAAATGCTCTTGTGCGGGGCAGGACCCGAGAACACAGCAGTGTCCAGCCCCAGATTTGCAACCTCTGAACATACCTTTACCCTACTGAGCAGGTGTCCCTTCTGTCCCGCCGGGCTTGCCCTGCTCTTGGGAGCATTCCAGGCTTGCAGCCTTGCTCACCGCCCGCGCACTGGGCTGGCACTCYGCGTCCCTGCACATGTTTAGCAACGTCCCCGCGTTGGGAAAGGGGCTCCTGTCTCCGCAGCAGCTCCCGGCTGCAGGACGGCGCTGCAGGGGGCAGGGAGGGCGCAGGATCCCGCGCTGGGACCCGCCGTCACCTCCTCCCGCTGTCTCCGCAGGCTGCAAGAACACGCAGCACGGGCAGATCCTCAAGGAGCTGATGCAGACGCCGAATTTCCGCGTGAGCGTGGTGCAGGAGGCCGACACCGTGGAGATCTGCGGGGCGCTCAAGGTGCGTGAGCCGCCCGCGGGGCTCGCCAGGCCGCGCGGGCACCCAGCAGCCCCCGGCGGGGCCGGTCCGGCCACGGCGCCGTCCTCTTCCAGAACATCGTGGCCGTCGCGGCCGGGTTCTGCGATGGCCTTGGCTTCGGCGACAACACCAAGGCCGCCGTGATCCGCATGGGCCTCATGGAGATGATCGCCTTCGCCAAGCTCTTCTGCAAGGGCCCCGTCACCTCCTCCACCTTCCTGGAGAGCTGCGGCGTCGCCGACCTCATCACCACCTGCTACGGCGGCCGCAACCGCAAGGTGGCCGAGGCTTTCGCCAAGACGGGCAAGGTGAGCGGGGCCGGGCGGCGCGGCGGGGCTCCCGGTGCTGCGGGACCAGCCCACGATGGGGCTGCCAGTGCTGCGGGACCGGCCTGTGACGGGGCTCCTGGTGCTGGAAGACGAGCCCACAATGGGGCTCCCAGTGCTGYGGGACTGGCCCGTGATGAGGCTCTTGGTGCTGCGGGACTGGCCCGTGACGGGGCTCCTGATGCTGCGGGACCAGCCCGTCATGGGGCTCTTGGTGCTGGGAGACCAGCTCACTATGGGGCTCCCAGTGCTGTGGGACTGGCCCATGATGAGGCTCTTGGTGCTGCGGGACTGGCCCGTGATGGGGCTCCTGGTGCTGGGAGACCAGCCCACCATGGGGCTCCCGGTGCTGCGAGACCGGCCCGTGACGGGGCTCCTGATGCTGCGGGACCAGCCCGTCATGGGGCTCTTGGTGCTGGGAGACCAGCTCACTATGGGGCTCCCAGTGCTGWGGGACTGGCCCRTGATGAGGCTCTTGGTGCTGCGGGACTGGCCCGTGATGGGGCTCCTGGTGCTGSGRGACCAGCCCACSATGGGGCTCCCGGTGCTGCGAGACCGGCCCGTGACGGKGCTCCTGATGCTGCGCGCAAMAGGGCTCCCAGTGCTGCAGGTCCTGCCTGTGACGGGGCTCCCGGTGCTGTGCCGTGCTGGGGCTCCTGGTGCTGCGGCACAACGGGGCTCCCGGAGCTGCGGGACCTGCCCACGGTGGGGCTCCCGGTGCTGCGGGACCGGCCGTGYGGCTCCGGCGCAGAGCATGCGGGTGCAACTCGCTCACTGCCGCCCTGCTGCAGTCTATCGAGCAGCTGGAGAAGGAGATGCTGAACGGGCAGAAGCTGCAGGGGCCGCAGACATCCGCTGAGCTGCATCACATCCTCAAGAGCAAGAAGGCGGTGGACAAGTGAGCGCTCCRGCCCCGCGTGCCGCTGGGATCTCTCCTGCGGATGCGGATGCTCTTCCGGYGGCCCCACGTGTCCCAGGAGAGGCGGCGGCCGGCGCTCACTCTGCCCGTGTGCCCCCAGGTTCCCCCTCTTCACGGCCGTGTATCAGATCTGCTACGAGGGCCAAGCTGTGGCCAACATCATCAAGTGCCTCCAGGACCACCCCGTGCACATGTAGGGCAGCGCGGCCGCGGCGCCTGCGCCTGTCTGCTGCTGCGACGGCTTTGGCGGGAGCCGGCGCCTGCCGGGAGCCTCCGCGGAGCCCCGGGAGGGCAGCGGCGCCTCCGGTTGGAGCTGCCGCCCGGCGTCCGCGCGGAGGTACCTGCGGATCCTCCCCTGCCTCTGCAGGGCCCCTTTAGCTTCYGCTGCTGCCTCGGCTCT